GGAAAACGACTGAAGGTGGAGCAGCTAGCAGAGCGAGGTGCGCGAGAACGCTAGAAGCCTTTTCCCACCTGGATCCCCGCTCTGTTTGGCCCTCATGTCCCTCCGTTGTTTTTCCTCGGCCGTATCTAGACCCACAGCTAATTCCTGATTGGCCCTCTGGCGTTGTGGCGTGGAATAGCATAGCGCAGACCACGCTTCAATATTGGGCAGAAATCAAAAATATCTGCGTCAAGCTCACTGTGACACACTGCTGGGAGGAGAATAACCAGGCCTTAAAGTGGACTTCCTGTCTCTGTCCCTTTGTCTCCAGCTGATCCGTCCTTCCCCCCTCTGGATGGACCGGCCCGTCTTCCTGCCTCACTGGAACTACATCCCCCATGATGCTACGGGGCAGAACCAGGACAGAGGATCCCTGGAGCTTATTGGTTCTCCTGTTCTGCTGTGTCCCAGAGCTGAGCCGCCATTGGCTGCAGACCCAGGAGGGGCGGAGCTTAATGGAGCGGTGAGCGTCAGAGAGGCTGCAGCTCTGCTGAGGACCAGGTGGGTCACATGACTTCTGACAGGAGACAGACATGCTGGTTCTGATTCGGTAGAGTCGGGTAGAACCAGCTGGTTCTGATCCGGTAGAGTCGGGTAGAACCAGCTAGTTCTGATCCAGTAGAGTCGGGTAGAACCAGCTAGTTCTGATCCAGTAGAGTCGGGTAGGAGTGGCTGGTTCGGATCCGGTAGAGTCCGGTATAACCAGTTGGTTCTGATCCGGTAGAACCTGCTGGTTCTGATCCAATAGTCGGGTAGAACCAGCTGGTTCTGATCTGGTACAGTTGGGTAGAACCAGCCGGTTCCTCCGGAGTACGGGCTCTGTCACTGGGATATGGAACATCTCTGTTGTTCCAACTGCCTGGCCCCTTTGCAGCCTGAGGAAGGTCATGACCTGTGCCCCCCTTGTCTTGGTGGTGACCACCTCAAGGAGGCGCTTACCGATTCTTCTTGCTCCAGTGGCAGCATTCTCCCCCATGCGGTGCGGCTGGGGGACGGCCATCTTGGCTGTCCCGCCTTCAGGGGAGTACATCAGGGAGCTCCATGCTGGCTGGTCTGATTTTCGAGCTCTTTCTCGCCTGACGTCAGATGGAAGAGTCCTCACTGCGATGCAAGAGGCCCCAAAGTTTGGGTTAGGGCAGATGCCGGCTGTGGAACCTGGCATTGCCTCCCTTATTGTTCCTCCTTCGAGCTAGCACCCGCTGTCCACGGCCACACTGGGACTTCCCTCCCTGCGCCCTCTGAGGATGTGGCTGAACAGCCTGGCCCAGGACCCCGCCCGCCTGGCACACAGGCGCATACAAATTTGTGACGCATCGCACTGTCTTCGGTCTTCGGTCTCTGAGGAGTTCCGCTCAGCCCCCTTCCATGCCAGAGGGAGGCTGTTTATACCGACGCCTCCACTATAGGCAGGGGTGCAACCTGGCGGGCCCGCATCGCGCATCGGGTGTGGTCGACACTGCAGCAGAGGGAACACATCAATGCCCTGGAGCTGCTGGCTGTGGCCCATGCGCTCCGAATTTTCTTCCGGGGTTACAGGGGAAGCATGTGTGAGTCTGGTTGGACAACACCACAGTGGTCTTCCATATCAACCACCAAGGTGGGTCCAGGTCCCCAAGAGTGCTGACCCTAACATGCCAGCTCCTGTTTTTGGCGTCATCTCGCCTCATCAGCCTCAGGGGAGCCTATATTCCATGTTGGAGCAACGGACCTGCTGACTTCCTTTCCCGCACGTCGCCTCTTCCGGGGGGACTGGTGGCTCCACCCGGAGGTGGTAGATCACATAAAGTCGA